CTCCAGATCTACCTGGGCTCAGAATATATCACCACATGTTAAAGATGTTGGACATGGAGCACAGGATTTAATGTTTGTCTCTTGGGTTTTGGTCTTGTTTTGGTTAGATCCCTTCTTTCTATGTCCCCATTCCTCCATTTTAAAATGGGTCATTGAATAGTGAAGTATATAACTTTATTTATTTAGTACTTGCTTGTTTTACATGGACCAGTCGCCATTTATTGGACATAAATTGTCCATCAAAATATGAAAAAATTTAGTCTTAGCAGAATTCTTCACAGATGGGTTTTAGGCAGGCAGTTGAGTTCGGAATACAGAGTTTCCTCCTCCCCCCAGCACTGGCTCCTCTTCAGAGGTACTTGCATCATCATTCATGTTTGAGTTCCTTATAAAAAAATTGAGGAGTTGGAAAAGTACATTGGCAGCCTGTATCATATTAGCCTCATTGATGCTCCCTTTCCTCATGTTAGTGTACTTGTTGTGATGCCAGTTGTAATCTCTCTGAAATACTCCAAGCCTTTGAAAGTAAAATCCCACATCAATATCCAGCTTGGCAGCTCTCCCAGCTCAACTTCTATCAGTTTCTTCTTCATCGGTGATACAAATGACACCAGCTTAGAATTCTGGCATTTCTAGATGCCCAGGGTTTTGTTTGTTTGTTTTTCAGAGTCTTACCAGTGTAGCCTAGACTGACCTTGAACTCCTGACAATCTTAATGCCCATCCACTCAAGAACTAAGAGTAGCCATACAAACCAGCATAACTAGTTTATAAACCTTTCTTTTTAATATTTTAAGGGTTCTTGGATGATGTAACAACTAAGAGATTGTTTTGAGTCTCAGTTGGGATTCTTGAACAATGCTGGAACTGTTAAGACTATGGAACTCTTGAAACTAGATTAAAAGCACTTTGTATTATGAGATGGTCAAGGGCTTTGGTGGAGGTGGGGTAGAAATTGAATAGGAGTAGAATGCTATAACAGTTTAAGTCAGAAATGGCTCATGTTTTGAACACTACATCCCAACCTGGTGGTAGAATTTGGGTAGGCTATAAAACCTTTCAGAGGTGAGGCCTGGCTGGTAAGGTAACTATAGATGGACTTTGAAGGTGATACTTGAGTCTGGTTCCTTTGTACTCTCTGAATCCTGGCTTAATATATGCTCATACCACCATTAACTTAGCAATTCTACCGTGCCTTCCCCACCATGATGAACTGACTCTTTGAACCCATGAGCCAAAATAAATCTGTCCTTTATTATGTTGTTCCTGTTAAGTGCTATGGCCACAGGGATACTATACTAAACCAATTAATGCAGAAGCAAATAAAACAACTGATATCAAATAAAATATTATAAACCGAATAGAGTGGCACACACCATTAATTTCTGCACTTAAGAGGCAGAGGCAGGTGGAGCTCTGTGAATTTGAGGCCAGCCTGGTCTACATAGAGAGGTCCAAAAACACCAGGGTACACAGAGAGACCCTACCTCAAAAATAAAATAGGTGTTATAAAAGACCAGGTATTTAAAAAGATTTTTAGCCTACAAATTTAAGGGTCCTTGAATGTTTGGGAAAGGAATATGTAATAAAACATCTATTCTAGCCAAAACAGCTTTAGAAACAGTAGTATCCTTATTTTATAGATGAAGAAATAGAGGCTTTAAAAATGGGTTAAAAAACAACTCATATACAGTCACATAATAATACAGAGGGTTAGCATCAATCTTAGATCTGACCTAAAACCTCTAATTTTTTTTCTCCTTTTTTGGGGGGGGGAGGGAGTTTCAAGACAGGGTCTTTCTGTGTAGCTCTGGCTGTCCTAGAACTCGTTCAGTAGGCCAGGCTGACCTCAGACTCACAGAGATCTGCCCTGCCACGACTTCCCAAGTGCTGGGATTAAAGGCGTGCCCTGGCATTGCCCCAACCTCTATTTTTTTAAAGCACTTTTTATTATAACTTCAAACATCATAGACAATGTATCTTGATCATATCAACCCAACTCCCCTTTCCCACTCCCAAGAAGTGCCCTGAATATGTAGCCCTCCTATACTCACAGTTTTTAACAATCCATTGAATCCAATTAGTACTGCCTGCATGAGCATGAACAACCTACCAGCAGTTGCACCCTCTCCCACTCCCCCAGCAGCCATCAACTAGCAAGCAGAGCTTCACGGGCTCCACCTGCATCTGCTCTGCACGTATTGACAGGCTTGATCTTATGCAGTTAAACCTCCACTTTCTACTATTTTTTAAGATTGATTGATTGATTTAGTATGCAGTGTTCTGCCTGCACGTTTGCCTGGAGGCCAGAAGAGGGCACCAGATCTCATTACAGATGGTTGTGAGCCACCATCTGGTTGCTGGAAAATTGAACTCAGGACCTCTGGAAGAGTAGTTAGTGTTCTTAACTGCTGAGCCATCATTCCAACCCTCAACTCTTATTTCTCCTAAAGTCTGATCACCTCTAGAAAGGTCAACAAATTAAAAGAGAGAAACATATACTTAGAAGCAATGTCAATTATATTATACAGTGCTCAACACCAGAAGTCTTCATTCTAGAAGATGGGAGAAGGGGATACCACACAGGCCTTTCCCCAGATCAATGTTTTCCTTGAAGAATTTTTTTTTTAAGTGAGGACTTGGGAGATAGCTTACTCAGTAGAGTGCGTGTGAAAGGTGAGAGCCTGAGTCAAATCCCAAAATGCATCTGTAACGTCAACACTAAAGAACAGGAGATAAAAAGATCCCTAGGACTTGCAGGCCAGTCAGCATAGCCTAACCAGCAAGCTCCAGGGCAGAAAAGGTAGGCAGCCCAAATAAACAAGGTAAATGGCACCTAAGGAACAATACCTCAAGTTGGCCTCTGGCCTCCACACACCACACGAATGCACATTGCACGTACATATACAGAGGAATTTTTAAAAACCTCCATTATCCCTGCTCTTTTTCTTATGTTTAATTCATTGGTTTCTACATCAGATCAAATAGCTGCAAGAAAAAGGACAAAACCAATTAAGAGTAAAATATAACATGACAGTTTTCAAGGAATTGGTACAAACTGCCTTTTATTGGGCTCCAACAAAACAAAGTTGCTTGGGGAAAAAGTGTTGTCAAATGTCAAATAGAAAAATTATTTGAAAGCAAGTGACAATAAATAAATTCCCCCAAATTCATGAGGAAGCTAACTTTTATACCCTTAATGGTTAGGATGAGATGGCTGTACTGGAGTAACTGCTCTAGTAACTTACAAGGTGATCCCTGAGGCTCAGCTACTCCTACCTTGGCTAGAGGCGATTATAAAATCATTCAGGAGTGGCAATAAATACAGTATCTACCAGCCACAGTAGAAGAGGTCAATCACAAGCCAACAGGTGTTCAGACCTAGCTAAGAAGATATTATTCAAGCAGGGTACAAAGGGAATAGTGGATTGCCAGAGGAGAAATGCTATTTATCAGACCATGACAAACTTCCACGTGTTTGCACTGAGATTAACCAACTGCTTGATGGTTGGTTTGCATCCCAAACTAACAGTAGCAAACTGGTAGTGAGGCAGACCTTTAAGACACTGGCACCGACTTCTGAATATTTTGCAATGCATGTTCAAGTTACAAACCCTCTTTATAAATGAAGGTGATATTTTCCATAGTATTTCATATTTGAAATTCCTTAAATAAATCCAAGTTCAGCCCAAAAAATTATGCCATCAGGCCTGGCAAGATGGCTCACAGGGAAGTGTTAGCATGAACATTTGATGACTTAGATTCTTAGATTCCACAAGGTGGCAGGAGAGAACCAACTCCCAAGAGTTGTCTTCTGACCTCTGCACTTGAATGCATGCACATGCACACACAAAGAAAGTTACTTGGGGAAACACATGCACACAAATAAATACACACATAAGTAAATGTGTACATCACTTTACATGTAATCCAAACTAACCAAGATCACCGCCATACATAATTGGGTAAAAATGAATGCTTCTCTGGCCCTGTGCTTGTAGGTGTGGGAGAACTGCCCTGAGGACGAGCGGGAGAACTGGTCCTGTGAACTCGCCAGGGTAATGCAGGAAGAGTTCACCCTGGTGGTGAGGATAAGGAGAGCTGGTGGGCTGACCAACCCTGCAACTACCCAGGTCACTCCAACATCCCCCCCATCTGTGAGCTGCTGGAGCACATAAAGGGACCAGTTCTGCAGATCCTAAGCTGCAGGATCTCCACAACACTGGACAACAACAGGATATCCAAGAGAAGTTCCAGTGAAGGCCTAAGCGCAGGATCGATAGCATAGCAGAAACCAGAGACCTTGAACCAGACCAAAGACTCTTTGCAATGAACACTTTCAAGTAAAGATATATGGACAAAAGGTTTACTGAGTGACTCACTGGGTCACACTGCAGCTTCCATGATGAAACTGGTTTTTCTTTTTTTCCTTCTTTTTGTTCTCTTAAATTTCATCTTATTTGGGAGTAAGCAGGAAGGATACAACAGCGGGGGGCAGATGTGAAGTGACAGAGAAATGAATTGGGATGAAGATATATAATGTGAAAGACACAACAATAAATAAAAAAGAAAGTTTAAAAAAAAAAAGGACTCAGGCTGAGGAGCAACCCAATAGGCAGAGCTCTTCCATGGCCTCTGAATCAGCTCCTGCCTTGAGCTCCTGCCCACCTCCCTCAGGGATGGACTGTGACCTAAGAGCTGTAAGATGAAATAAACCTCCGACAAAAAGAATCAATGCTTTTCAATTTAAATGAATCAGATAGATATATTTTTATAAATATCATTTAATAATTCAAAATGCAGTTTAAAGTACAGATATGGTATAAATCCTAATAATAAAAAATGTAAAATAATAGCACCTGTTTTAATTAGATCTAACAACAGAAACAAAATGGTTATTTCAGCACAATAAATGATTACTTGACTCTAAACATAAGAAATATATAACAAGATGAAACTAGGAATGGGCTGGATTCCACACAAATCACAAAAACCCTTTACCTCAGTCTGCAGGATGGCAGCCCTTTGTTCCTTAGCAGTGAGGGACTCCTTTAGCACCTCGATGTGTTGCTTACTATCTGAGAACTGGTTCGTGAGAGTTTCTAGCTTGGTTTGTAAGGCTAGCAGTTCAGTGTCCTTTCTGGACAACTCTTGTTTCACCTGGCCAATCTGGAAAAGAAAACACAACACTGTAAGGAAGAAAGAAATCACACAGCTACCGCACAACTGGACCTCTGGCAGATTTACGACACAAGATAGGAAAGTAAATACAACACTGACTTGATGATAGGTGTGGGGTGTGCTTTAGTGGTAAAGCACTTGTCTAGCAACCCCGAGCTCTAGGCTCATCAAATAGTAAATAAATAAGACTGGACATACTAATCTTTTACACCATCTAATACCGATGCTCCCTACCAAAAACTAAGCTTATTCAAACACAGAAATTTCTAATCTTCATTTATTGTCTTTAAATAGTTTCTGAAATGCCTTAGGCCAGTTGTTCCCAACCTTCCTAACACTGAGACCCTTTAATACAGTTCCTCATGTTGTGGTGACCCCAACCATAAAGTTATTTTCATTGCTAATTCACAACTGTAATTTTGTTACTGAGCAGTGTTGTAGCTTCCGATGGTCGTGACCCGGATGAGAACCACTGCCTTCGGGGAAAGATGGAGAAAGAAATTGCAGTTCAACCCGACCAGACAGAGCTCATCACCTAAATGCCACTTCATTTGGTCAGAAAACAATGAGTCACAGGCAGGACTAGTGTGAACGTAAAACATGAGGGGAAAGTAACTTCCTATTTCTGCTGAAAGTAAATTCAAATCCTAGTGGTATGCTTCTTTAGTTTTCTTTCTCAAACAAAAGTTTTATACTTTATCTTAAAAAGCTAGGCTAGATGAGGTAGTGTAAACTTTTATACCATGCAGAACAGGCAGAAGCTGTTTGATCTCTGTGAGTTCTAAGCATGCCAACAGTACAGTGAGACCCTGTATCATGAAAACAGGACAAAACCAGGCTGGTTTCAGTGTTAGGGCATCAGAGAGATGTTTTCTTTAAAAAAAAAAAAAAAAGTCAACTGTTTATTACCTACATCCACATCATAGACATAAATGTGGCATCTGAACAGGCCAGTCATAAACAGAACAATGCACTCTTAACAAAGCTTTTCTTTTTCTTTTTTGGTTTTTCAAGATAGGGTTTCTCTGTGTAGCCTTGGCTGTTCTGAACTTGTTCTATAGACCTGGCAGGCCTCGACTCACAGAGATCTGCCTGCCTGTGCGCCTCATGAGTGCTGGGATTAAAGGTGTGCACCACCACAATCTGGCTCTACAAAACTCTCTTAATACCAACAAATATTTCCTTTTAAACAACTTCCTTATATCTGTATTGTTCCTAAGCATTTGTGTGTGTGTGTGTGTGTGAGAGAGAGAGAGAGAGAGAGAGAGAGAGAGAGAGAGAGAGAGAGAGAGAGAGAGAGAGAGAGAGAATCAGTCAGTCTTGTGTGCACCAGACCAGACCAAGGCTGGTCTTGAACTCCTGATCTTACTGTCTCTATCTCCTAAATGTTAGGATTACAGGTCAACAGCCAATGAGGACAGTAAATGTGTACAGTGTTATATTTGCGTGTACACATACAGAAGCCAATGCTGGATATCCATCTGTCAACTTCTGCCTTGCTCCCTTGAGATTGGTTCTCTCACTGAAGCTGAAGCTAACCAACTCCAGAAATCCTCCTGTCTTCATGTCCCTGTAGCATTAGGACACAGACAGGCAACCACACCTGGCGTCTGACATGACTTCTGGAGACTGAAACACCATGCTGACACAGCAAGTGTTCTTATTCACTCAGCCTTCTTAGCCAGCCTTGTTCCTAAGACAGGGTTTCTCTGTGTAGCCCTGGTTGTCTAAAACTCACTATACAGACCAGGCTGGCCTCAAACTCAGAGATCCATCTGCTTCTGCCTCCCAAGTGCTGAGGTTAAAGATGTGCACTACCATGCCCAGCCACCTTCTTTCCTATTTTGAAACTTTAAATAAAGATTAAAAAAGAAAGCTGTCTTATGACATTTTCTGAGTTTATAATTATTAGGTCTACCGTCCAGAAAATAAGTACATGACAGATTAACTACTGGCAGATATACGGTACATCAGAAATTTTCATGGCAGATGAAGCTAAGTTCTGGAGTTTTAGAAAACTGAGCATCTCTAAAGTATTTTACTACACCAAACTTAGGTAACAAGAGAAAGCTTTTTAAGAAATTTCACAGGAAGAAATAGCGTTTACCTTAAAATCAGACTTTTAATTTGGGAACATACCACAACAAAAGAGTTGTTTCCTAGCATGTACAAGACCCTACATTTGATCTCCCCAGGAAAACAACAAGATAGGAAGAGAGGGAGGAAAAAAGGGAGGGAGGAAAGGAGGGAGGGAGGGAGGGAGGGAGGGAGGGAGGGAGGGAGGGAAAAACCAATTATACCTTTAAGAAGCACTAAAAATAATTTAGTCTTCTCTTTCAATAAGGCAAGCATTTTTCTATACACATGAAAACTATTTACAGATAAGCAAATACATAAGGATACTCATGCTATCCCTTTACCAACAACAAAAATATATATTAGCATTATTCCATCTGTAATATATAGATTGAACTAAAAATGTATTTATTCTATAAATAAATGCCCAGAATATTCAAAGTGTTACTACTTTCTCAGGAAAGAACTACAGTTCAAAGGTATCTAAATCTCTGGATATTTCTAAACACAAGTTAAAAATAAACAGAAGCCAGGCATGGAGGTACACACCCAAAATCCTCAATGCTAAGGAGGCTGAGGCAGAATCAGAGGTTTGATGACTAGCCTACATAATAAGGTCTTTCTCAAAATTCTAAAATGCACACATACATACGGAGAGAGATTTCAGTTCTGCACAGGACTGCTGTTTCCTTACTGTGTGCACTACTTAACGAGCTTTACATGCTGCTATACAGACCCTTAGAGACTGAGAAAAAGAAGAAAACATTTTAAACAAAAGAAAAATTTAGAAGTACAAATCTTCCTTCTGGAACGCCCAGGAGAGAAAACTAAGTGAGGAGCACATGATAGCAGTTAGTTGCTGAAGAGATCAGTAATGTTATTCTTCTCTACATCTTGGCTTCCTAACTGGCAATGGAGAAATTATACCAAAGCCTCATACTGCTTAGGAATTCAATAAAATAATATACTTGGCCTGCTGTCTGATACACATAAATGAAAAATAGTCGCTAAGAAAAAAAGGAAGTTATATACCAATTCCTCCTCCAGATAACATATAGTTAATACAATAATCCAAATTAGATCTTTTCCAAACATAGTATTTTACTTTTTAACCTACAATACAAAGTAGCCATAAATAGGAAGCAGCATATCAAATTATCAAAATTTATTTTTAATACTGCATTTGAGTCTTAGTCCACAATTCTTCCCAAGGGTAATTTTTCCACTCATCTTTGACACTTTGAAGAAGCTGTGTATGAACAATACAAACAAAATAGTGAAGAAATTACAAGTAAACTCTAAAACGGGATAGCTGGTGTCAATCAAACCCTACCCCTTATGACCTGTGGTTCACTGGGTATTGTCTGTTACCTGAGCTTTCTCCTCTGTAAATTGGTGCTGATCACCCCAGACGCTTCTAGTAAGTATACAGGTCATGGTTATTTTATTATTATCTATTAGAATGGTTTGAAATGCAGTTTTTTAAAAAAATCACACTAATTCTAAACTCCCAGGTAAATTTAAATAGCTACTCTCTATACATCTGTCCTAAAGAAAATAACATTTGCTGCAAAATCTCCTAATGAGAACTTAATGTCTCCATGTAGTTAAAGTACTTTTCTCAAGAATTTCAAATGGAGGTAAGTTGTAGGCGATAGGCCTAGAGATGTCTGCATATTCCTGTACCTAAAAGAATGGAGGGAAAGACCATTCATATAAATCAGCGTACATCTACTCAACAAGGGAATGAGGAATGGGAGTTTTGAGATACCATCCACAGAACAGCAAAACAATAAAGAACCAGGTGTAGGGCTCCCAGAATCCATGTGGACTCAGTGTGCACAAGTGACATATGGGTCAAACTGTGAACAAAGGTCAGTCAAAAGAGCAGAGCAGGCTGGTTAGTGCTAAGAATGGGCAGAGCTGCCATCCATAGAGAGAATGAAAGTGTAAGCCACCCAGAAGCCAGAGCCAGCAGGGTCCCACTGTGGGATCACTGCACACAGAGAGGTAAATCTTACTGCAAAGACCTCAGACTGAAGACCAGCCGCTCTCTTTTTCAGCTCCTCCCCTTGAGCCTCTTTCGAACTTAGTTCCTCCTTCAGTTGTTCTACCTGTCACGACATTGTTATTGTTTTTCACTCATGTGCCAACTTAGGACTTCAAATTATCTGATTTTGAGCCACAGTGACCTCTGAAATAATAATAACTTACGTAAAATAATTGAATATTTTCCACTAACTCAATTTTCAAAGGCATATACTGTTTCTATTTCAAACTTTTTTCAAATGAACTAGAATGTGCTGGTCAGCAAAAAGGAAGTATAATATAGATTTTAATATGGTATATTTTGTCCTTAAAATCATGGAGAAAATCCAAGCTAACAAAAAGTTGAGCACATCAATTTTTAGCATTAAAATTAGCACATAATTGGCATAAATCATCAATAACAGACTCTTTAGCAATAGAGGAAAATTCTAAAGACACATGCCAGATACACAACAAAAAGCCTAAACAGGATAGGGAGTCACACCTGTATTTCTTGACAGTCAAATTTGGAGAATGTTTCAGTTTTCAATTGTGAGAAACTGAAGAATACAGCTGCTCTATACATTTGGGAAATGCAGTGAGTTAAGATTTTTCTAGCTAAATTTTCATTGTTAAAATTATTTATTTGCATATTTGTTTGTTTTGAGACAGGGCCTCACTGTGTAGCCCTGGCTAGCCTGGAACTCACTATGTAGACCAGGCTGGCCTCTAAGATGCAGCACTCCAGCTGTCTCTGTCTACCAAGTGCTGGGACTGCAGGCATATGCCACCATGTCCAAACTTTGACAATAATTATTTTTAATTGAAGCACAATAAAATTGATATCCCAATAAATTAAATTCTTCAATTTTATTTAAATAGTTTATAGAATCAACATAAATGACTTTTGGATCTGATTTTAAACCACACTGATAGGCCTCAGTACTGACTGCCCTACTGCACACACGCCTGAGAGCACATAGGAAGCAGCAAACCTGGGAGCAAATGAACTCCCCTAACTGAGAAAGCAAAGGCCTTCCATCTTGGGACTTGTTTAAAGGGGAAACATTTAACTTGTTTTGGGGGGGGGGGGAACAACTTTCAGGGATTTGATTTAAACTATTTCCCAAGAAGGGGTAGAGAATGAGCTCTCACACCGTAAGAACAATGCAGTTGAACAAAGTTCCATCAAATCATTTCAGAAGGACTTACAGAAACAAAAAGTTAAACGATAACATGTCCTTAGTCACATCAAACGATTCTTATTTAAATAAAAGCCTACAATAACTAAATGATACCAGTCATTCTGACCTTAACTCTGGGAAGTTTCTAAGTGGGGGTGGGGGAACACTCCTCTAAAATCTAATAAAGCATAAAGTAGATCTTTGCAATCACTAACATGGACAAGTATGCATAAATTTTAAAGCTTCCAGGAACTGAAGTATCCATTCCATACCTTATTCTTCATGAATTTAGAGTGGCTCCTATACACCTCCATCTGTTTCATTTCCTCCTCTCGCTCTTCAGTGCTCAAAGCCCCATTTGATTTCAGCATCTGAATTTCCTCTTCCAGGTCTCGGAGTCCACGCTCCATGGAAGAAATTTTTGAATCCTAGGAACATGGAAGAGTTAAGTGTTGGGGAATATTATTTTCAGGTGTCACTTTTGTTTACACTGCATTTGTTTAACTCTGTGAAGCAGTGTTACTGTGTCTGTCTAAAACACCTGACGGTTCTAACAAAGAGATGAACAGCCAATAGCAAGTAGGGAGCAAGGATAGGCGGGGCTAACAAGCAGAGATCATAAATACAAGGAGAAATCTGGGAGGAGAGAGAACTAGGAGAGGAGGACATCAGGGGCCAGTCACACAGCTACAAAGCAAGCCACTGAGAAAGAAGAAAGGTATACAAAAATACAGAAAGATAAAAGCCCTTTCAAAGGCAAAAGGTAATGGGGATAATTTAAGATAAGAAAAGCTAGCAAGAAACAAGCCAAGTTAAGGCCAGGCATTAACATCTGTGTGTGATTTATTTGGGAGCTGGGTGGTGGGCCTCTCAAAAAAACAAGAGTAAAATATCCTACAACAGTTAAGTGTTAAACTATTTACAAAAAGATTAAAAGTAGTTGAATGACTGGTGATGTGGGAGTGTCATATATCAATCTGTTGATTTCACTGGTTAATTAAATAAACTGCTTGCCCTGATAGGTTAAAACATAGGTGGGAGGAGTAAACAGGAGGAAGAGGAAGTGAGGTAAGACTCCTCAGACAGACGCAAGATAGCTCTGCTCTCAGAGACACATGCAATGAAGCTCCGACTCAGGATGGACGTAGGCTAGAATCTTCTCGGTAAGCGCACCTTGGGGTGCTTACACACATTATTAGAAATGGGCTAGTCCAGGTGGCGAGAGTTAGCCGAGAAGAGGCTAGATATAATGGGCAAGCAGTATTTAAAAGAATACAATTTGTGTGTTGTTATTTCGGGCATGAGCTAGCAGGCGGCCGGGGTGCTGGGGATGCAGCCCCGCCGCACTTATTTCAACAGACTGGGTCTCTGAAAACCTGCTGCTGCAGCGTGTGGAACAAGGAGGACACATCCCCACAGCATGGCTGCTCCTCTTCCTCCCTCCAGTTACAGACACTTTCAACTCAAGCAGACAGAATTGACCAAACGGGCAGAAACAACAGAAAATGGTTAAAGGTTCTCTGCACTTTTATAATCAACAAATTTCAAAAACTGTAAAACTGACCATAAAACCTTTTCTATTGTAATATTTTACTACTTTATTTAGTGACCTCTGGGTGGGGGACGTGTTTCTGCCACTAAGAGAAAAGAAAAAAGCTTGAAAGAATTGTACAATAAAATTCATAATAAGATATACCATAATAATTATCTAGCATTCCAATTGAAGAAAAAAATCAAGAGTGAATATTTATATATTAACAGTTACTTTTTGTACATTAGAACTCTTATTCACTGTACTTCTGGTATACATTTGAAATATCTACTTATGTTTTAAAAATCACTAATTTCCATGACACATGAGTATAGTTCTGGGTATTTAGAACAAGGCAGCAAGAGGATTACTGGAGACCAGGAGTTTAGGGACAACCTAGGCAACATAGTAAGATAACTCCCATCTCAAAAATAGTTATATTAAATAATAAATCACTGTTCTTGTAAACCACTATCACAAATATCACCTTCTAGTTCTACATGTTTCTATACTCAATTTCTTGATTTGTTTGTGGAAACATATAACTTATCCTCAACACAAGTATCAATCACAGCAAAATGGCTATGTGAAAATAATTTTATATCTGTAACTGAACATGTTTATTTACCTAAGAAATAAAAGATTTAAAGAATTTATGGCTTCATTTTACTTGGAGCTTTAGAGAGAACATTCTGGGTTGGAATTCTGAAACTGACTTCCTTTTTACTTTATATCAAAGATGTCTGGGTTGGCTGTATTGGCTATCATAATTCCTAGAACAGAAAGACAGAACTTAAAGATCTGTTGTGAGACAATTTTAACCAGCAGTTTTCAGGTTTGGGGAGCTAAGGGGGAAAGAGGTACCCTTGCCTTGCTCATAGCCTACACTTCAATTATAGAAATTCACTTTTAAGATTAACACAAAAATTGCAAAAACATATTAACATAAATTGTAGAAACAGATTGACATAAATTGTAGAAATTCACTTTTAAAATTAACATAAAATTTTCTTCACGTATCAGGACATGGTCTCTTTAAAATGACTAAAACACCAGATAAGCACAAATAGCTAGGAATCAAAATAAGTTTTGCCATGCCCACACCTAGGAGCAGCAAGAGGTAATGAAAAGATGGGGAAAGAAAAGGGAGTGTAGCTTTAGCACAGCTGTGATCCACACAAGACAATGGGCCCAGAGTAACAGCCCTAGCTCTGTGCGTCCTCAGCAGACCACCTACGCAGTTCCACAAGGACCTTACCCAACCATAACAGTGACATAGGACAAAATCAATTCACTACCAAACGTACAGCAAGAACAGAAAACTTCTTTCTAGAAAAGACATTACTGTGGCTGTGAAACCTCACGGCAAGCATGAATTATCTGAGGAAAGAGCTATCAGTTTACTCTTTGAAATCAGGTTAGACAACTAGTCCTTGTTAGTGTAACTAGGTCCAGCATAAACTCCAGTGGTACCAAGCCTGGTTTATGTGAGAATATCTCTCCTAATCAACTGAAATAAGCAGATAATTAAGTTCCCTTTCACTCTCCCACTCTACTTCCCAAGCCCTGACTCCCCATCACTGTCAACCACTCCTAATGGGCATTCTGAGATCTCCTTGAGAAATTCCCCACATCTCCAATTCCAAAGGTTGGCTCATTTCCCCAAGCAAAGCTGGGCTTTCCTGAACGATCTAATTACCCTGAACTATCTCATTTTGCAACACAAGAGACCAGCTTCCAACCACCTGAAAGATACACTCCTGGGGCCTCTTAGGGTGTGTATATGCACGTAAGTGTTTAAGATGGGAGAATGGCACCATCACATGAGCAAGAGTCCAGAACTAAATGAAAAGGAGAAAGCCCCTCTGCTCATATTATCACTCTTCCCTTGATGTGGGAGTGTCATATATCAATCTGTTGATTTCATTGGTTAAGCAATAAAGAAACTCCTTGGCCCTGATAGGTTAAAACATAGGTGGGAGGAGTAAACAGAACAGGATGCTGGGAGGAAGAGGAAGTGAGCTCAGACTCGACAGCTCTGCTCTCTGGAGCAGAGGCCCTGCTTCGCTCTCTTAGGCATACGCGATGAAGCTCCGACCCAGGATGGACGTAGGCTAGAATCTTCCCGGTAAGCGCAGCTAGCGGTGCTACATAGATGATAAGAAATGGGCTAAATTAATATGTTAGAATTAGCCTAGAAGAGGCTAGATAGAAATGGGCCAAGCAGTGTTTAAATGAATACAGTTTGTGTGTTGTTATTTTGGGCATAAGCTAGCCAGGCGGCCGGGGTGCTGGGGATGCAGCCCCGCCGCACTTATTACTACATTCCCTCTCTTGGACTGGTCTCCAGAAGCTCGGTCCAGGGCTTCGCTGTGGATCTCTGATCTGCTTCCATCAGTCGCTGGATGAAGGTTCTATGATGACAATTAAGGTGGTCATCAGTCTGACCACAGGGGAAGGCCAGTTCAGGCATCCTCTCCACTGTTGCTTACAGTCTTAGCTGGGGTCATCCTTGTGGATTCCTGGGAATTTCCCTAGTGCCATGTTTCTCACTAGCCCCTTAATGGTTCCCTCAATAAAGACATCTCTTTCCTTTCTCTCCCTCTCTGTCCTAACCCTTTCTTGAGTATCCTGTACCCTCATGTTCTCTTCCTCCCTCTCCTCTTCTCCCCTTCCCCTTCCACCCTCCCTTCTCTACCCACACACTCCCAATTTTCTCAGGAGATTTTGTCTGTTTCCCCTCCCGGGGAATCCCCGTATGTCTCTCTTAGGGTTCTCCTTGTTACCTAGCTTCTCTGGAATCATGGACTATATATAAGCTGGTTATTCTTTGCTTTAGGTCTAATATCCACTTATGAGTGAGTACATACCAGGTTTGTCTATCTGGGTCTGAGTTGTGATACCCACAGAAAAAGCTGACCTGAGTTAGTGAGAGCCCACTGACTCTGAACAAATAGCGGGAGGGAGGGGAGACCTGTATAGGACCAAAAGCCCCACAAAATGTGGGGGAAAGTTGTGAGGCTTGGGCAGTCTGTGTGGCCATTGGCAGTGGGACCAGGATTTATCCCTAGTGCTTGAACTGGCATCTTGGAGCATGTTCTCTTTGGAGGGATACCTTGCTCAGACTAGATATAGGGGGAGGGCCTTGGCCTGCCTTGAAAGGATATGTCTGACTTTTTGACTCCCTATGGGAAGCCTTACCCTTTCGGAGGTGTGGATGGGGGGTGGGATGGGGGAGAGGGTAAAACAGGAGAAGGGGAGGGAGTGGGAACAGGAATAGCTATGTAAAAAGAGAAAAGACTGTATTTAAAAAAAAAAAAATTTAAAAACCACTATTCTCAGGACCATAGAGGAAACAAAAATAAAAATAAAAAAGGAAAAAGCCAGTGGGGCAGCAACACTCACATCTCTCTGCATCCTAACTGTGAACACAAATTGATCAGATGCCTCCCACTCCTACGGCCTCATCTCACCCCATGGACTCTACCCTCAAGCCACATCCAAAATAAATCCATCCTTTTTAAAGTTACTTTTGCCAGGTGTGTTGTTCTAGCAGTGAGAAAAATAACCAACATAGCATCCACCTGACCCTTCTTGTTGACAAAATCTCATTTTACAATACAAGCTTGGCAAAACTTAAAATATGCCCACCACTGCCAATTAACAAAATTACATATTCCTGATCTGTGAGCTGGAGAGTTTAAAACAAACAAACAACACAAAACCATGTGTAAAAATGTGTTTTATCCTTAGACACCAAAAGGAAATCAAGAAATAACATGCACAAATGAACTATGTTGTGTGACTAAGGGAAAGCCACAAAATTAAACCATTCCAAAGGCCTTATAAGATTATAGTCAAGCTTGTTGAAGAGCCCAAAAACTAGTAATTTAAATTTTGTTTGGTAACTCCTTATCCTACTGAAAAAGAAAATATACATACTATGAGCAAAGTTTTATCATTGTCAGTCAAATTGTATCGTTACCAGCCAAGGCTAAACTGAGACCTTAGCTCAAAAACACATGAACACACACACACACACACACACACAAAAGTGGATTATAATACAAACCAAGCCTCTTATGTAGTATAAAGAAGTTAAAGAAAGCAGGTAGAACAAAATGAGCTTTTCTAAGAAAGAACATAAAGCAGAGATATGGTAGCACATGCCTATAATAAAGGAAGATGGCAAAGTCCAAAACCAGCCTAGGACACAAGAAAAGGAAAGGAGGACCATATGTGATGGTTAATTTTAAATAGCAACAGGCTACAACCAAGAATCACCTGCAAAGAGTCTCAATGAGGAATTATCTAGATCAGATCAGCCTGTGCAGAGACTGTATGGATTGCATTGAGGTGGGATGGGTGACTCACCCTGAACCTGGGTGCCACCAATTCAGGCATTGAGCCCTAAACTGTACAACATAAAAGAAAGCTGGAGACAACAAGCCAGCAGACTGCAATAGTACCATTCACTTCTCTCTGCTCTTGGCTACAGATACAATATGTCCAGTTGTCTCAAGTTTCTGCCTCTGACTTTTCTGCAACTGTGAGCTATACCATGGAACCCTAAGCCAGCTTGTCACAACAACAAAGAAATCAGAAGACCATGTGTCTAGTAAAAATACTAGCAACACCACCTAACATCAGTCGTTAGCTATGTGCAAGGCCCTGTCCAAAGCATTTTACATGTTTTAACCAATGAACAACAAATTAACCACTGAATTAACAGACTTTTTTTTTTATAAATCTGAGAAAGCCATAGAGAGGTTAGGAACTTGCTTTTTGTCACATATCTGATAAGATGTAGCTAGATTTTTAAATCAAAGGAGTTTAACTCAGAAAGCAAACTCTTAAAACTCCTAGAGATTTCTAATGGCTAGTCTAAAACAGTTTTTCAAAATACTATCTTTTCAATTCGGGGGTCCTCTGGACATAGAGTCTACAGGGCTAAAGCTATTTTTGCAATAATCTTAAAGTTATCATTGGATCTGTCCAATGTGTTGACAATTGCACTGATAAGAAACAACAGACAAAGGTACCAGTGCCTGAGCACAAGTCAGGACAGTGGCAGTAACAGTAGTAGTCACGACATTCTTTAGGGGGATAAACTGGCAATGAAGAAAAAGGATAAATAACTAAAATCTTAAAGAATGTCCTTAAGCAGTTAAAATGCATTACTATTAATAATATCCAGCATCAAATATATATATGAAAAGTGGAATTAGGCATGGAGCACTTATACTGCATACTGAACAATGGCTATACCTAGCAACGGCACCTGCAGGGTGCTGTAAGGTGCAAGGTGAGCTATATACTTCCTTCTTACAGCACAGCTCTTACTAAAGACACAACTGGAAAATGGTGATTACTGAGACTTAGGTTTTGACAAATTTTGTTCCTAAAAATAAAGGAAGTATACCAGGCAGTGGTGGAACATGCCTTTAATCCCAGCACTTGGGAGGCAGAGGCCAGCCTGGTCTACAAAGGGAGTTAGTTTCAGGACAGCCAAGGCTACACAGAGAAACCCTGTCTCCAAAAGAAAACAACACAACAACAACAAAAAAGTTGGCTTATCAACTTTAAGAGAATTATGGGATCCTAACATTAAGTTTTCTCTCTCTCTCTCTCTCTCTCTCTCTCTCTCTCTCTCTCTCTCTCTCTGTGTGTGTGTGTGTGCGCGCGCGCGCGCATGTATTGGGCAAGCATGTTCATGTGGGTGACATACCTGTGTATGACTGTACAGACCAAAAGACAAGCTCCAATATTGCTCCTTAAGCACTATCCACCCTGTTTTATGAGACAAAGTGTCTCACTTGCCTGGAGCCTACCAAGTAGACGAGGCTAGTCAGCCGGCAAGTCCCAGGGAGCTCCTTCCCTGCCGCTATCTCCCCAGTGCTGAAGTCATAAGCGTGTGCCTACAAGCTCAGCTTTTCTACATAGATTCTAGGGATCCAGCTCAGGTACCCAGCAAATATTTTACTGACAGTTATCTCTGCAGGCCAAGAAGTTTGCTTTCCGTAATTCCTCTTTTCATTGGCATATGTTAATTACATAAAATGACCAGCCTTATTGTGCCATTCTGTACATGTATGAACATAATTTGATCGTATTTACCCCATTACTCTTCTTATCACCCTCCCTCCTGACTAGGTTTCCTTCTTCTTGCCTAACAATCCCCTCTCTTCTCTAAGAAATCTGACATTTGATTTAAAGAAATGCTAGACAACTCTTTTTGTCTCATTTGAATTATGTCCAACAACCGAAAAGAAACTGAAAATCCTGTTAAGGTGTTCTTTTATTAGACTTACAGCTTCCTCTCGATCTTCCAATTGAGCAAAGTATTATACCGTAACTCTCTACCCATGCAAGGAGGCTCCCCATTTAAGAATGAAAGGTGACCCCAAGATTCTTCATGGGATTCTCACTTACCTTCATCTCAATGACGGTTTGCAAGGCTTTTGTTTTGGCAGAATCAGGGGCATTCTCAAATCTCCGGTGCATCTCCTAAACAGAAGCAGAAGGGAGTCAGTGGCTGCCTTCCTATGTTCATGCCATATTCTGGTCTCACTTTGTAGCTCTGGCTGGCCTGGAGCTCACGATGTATTCCTGACTGGCCTTGAACTCAAAGATCCACCAGATCCTCGGCCTTTGCCTCCCAAGTTCTGGTATTCTTGGGAGATGTTAAAAATAACTAAGTTAACATTTGTGGTAAGTGGACCCTTTCTTTGTTACAGACCTTTACCTCTGGATCAGGGAATCCAGAGTGCATTCCAACTGATTCAACATACACTCCGGAGGATTCCTGGTTCTGAACAACTAGTTGTTTAAAATTAGTCATAATAATACCAACAGCTACAATACAAGAAACTACCACACATCACTAGGTTGACACATCAGTAAGACATGAAACCAAAACTGCAAATGATCTCAAGGGGGATTAGGAAAGACCCCTCTTTTTGTTTGTTTAGTTTTTCAAGACAGGGTGTCTCTATATGGCTCTGGTTGTCCTGGAATTCACTCTGGAAACTAAGCTAGCCTCAAACTCACAGAGATTCACCTGCCTCTGCCTCCAAGTGCTGGGATTAAATGTGTGTGCTGAAAAGGACCCTTTTTAAAAAGAAGAAATAACGGCCATCACCACCAGCCCGCTATGCACAGAGCTATGACGTTATCTGTTAACTGCAGCACCCACCTCTAGAGCACCAAGTGCCTCGCTTCCTATGATGAATGCCTCCAGTGCGACTCCAGGGGAGAAGAAAAGGTCTCTTAGACAAGTTTCTAAGTAGCTCAAAATCAGAAAATGTCATGACAGCTTTCTTTTTTAATCCAGTGTTTAATGAGTTTAAGACAGGAAGGAATGAGGCCAGACATGGTGGCACATGCCTTTAGTTCTGGCATTCTTTTTTAAAAGAGACTGGATACTATGAAAAGACTGAACTTTTAAAGTGTTTGAATTTTTACAGCTGTAGAACCTAAGTTTGTAAAATGATGTACATTGTGCTATCTCTATTAATGTGTGCTCTTGGGGGTGAACAGTGATGTGTGTGTGTCTGAATGTCAAGCTAACAAGGGGTCAGTTGTGCTGGCTAGTTTTATGCCTACTTGACATAAGCCAGGGTCAGTGCAGATAAGAGAACCTCAACTGAGAAAATACCTCCATTAGATCAGGCTGTAGGGAAGCCTAAAGGGCAATGGTTTTCAATCTACCTAACACTGAAACCCTTTAGCACAGTTCCTCATGTTGTGACTACCCCAACTATAAAATTATTTCATTGCTATTTCATAACTGTAATAATGCTACTGTTATGAATCATAATATAAATATCTGATATGCAACCCCTGTGAAAGGGTCATGAACCTCCAAAAAGGGGTTGGTACCTGCAGGTTGAGAACCACTGGTAAGGGCATTTTCTTAAGTGATTGATGTAGAAGGGCCCACCCCATTTGGATGGGGCCACACCAGACTGGTGCTCCTGGATTCTATAAGAAAGCAGGCTGAACAAGTCATGAAGGGAAACAGAGGCAGGCAGATCTCTGTGAGTTTGATACCAGCCTGGTTTTAAATAAATAAACAAATAAGTTGGTAGTGATGGAGAATATTAACAGTCTTCAAGAATCACTCAGAAGTTCTAGACAACCTCAGACAATAATTACTAATAAACCTGAGACAACTCTAGATAGGAGGACAGAGTGCAATACTCCATATGAACAATGGTTAAAAATAATGAAAATGACCATGATTTTGATTATGTCTTTACCTAACTTACTCACTGTTGCCTGATGAGGAAGCTCATAGATTAACTTCTCTTAAAATTCTTACAGAACGGGCTGGAGAGATGGCTCAGCAGTTAAGAGCATTGCTTGCTCTTCCAAAGGTCCTGAGTTCAATTCCCAGCAACCACATGGTGGCTCACAACCATCTGTAATGAGATCTGGTGCCCTCTTCTGGTCTGTAGACACACATGCAGAAAGAACACTATACATAATAAACAAATAAATCTTTAAAAAAAAATCTTACAGAACAAAAACCCTTCCAAAAAGTTTTTCACACTATACTCTAATTTTTTTAGTGCACTTGTGGTTTCAGTTTTAGTTTAGAAATGCCCAACTGCTAAAGTCTATGAAAATATTCCAAACTCCAAAAAAAAAACCCCACAACCTGAAAAAGCTCTGGCTCAAGCACTTAGGGGTAGACAGACTCAGTCTTTATTATATACACTACTCTTTCTACTAACTTTAAGTATACAAGTAGACAATCACAACATAGGTAACAAAAATTTCAAAAGTGTGGTGGTTTGAATGAAAATGGCCCCCATAGGCTCACAGGGAATGGCACTACTAGGAAATGTTGCCTTGCTGGAGTAGGCACAGCCTTGTTGGAGGAAGCATGTCCCTGGCAGTGGGCTTTGAGGTTTCAGATGCCCACACCCGATCCACTGGTTTACTCTTTCTGCTGCCTTCATATTCGGAAGTAGAACACTTGGCTCTCTTTTCAGCACCATGTCAGCATGCTTGCACACCATGTCCCACCATGATGAATTGTGGACCAGTCCCAATCAAATGTCTTCCTTTATAAGTGTTGCCATGGTATCACTTCCCAGCAATAGAAACCCTAACTAAGACAAAAGGCTATGTTCCCAAAACTAGACTCCAACAGCATTCTAAACCTGCACCACATGCGGACATTCACACTTTCTAGTCTCCCATAAGCCAAAGGCAGAAAATCTACCTAGATGTCCCTTCAAAACATACCAAAATCTAGCCGGGCAGAGGTGCACATGCCACACCTTTCATTAACAACTTCCTACATTTTGCCTCCCTTACTGCACTTCTCAATAGAACTTCTTTAAAAACCAAGTTGATCAGTAAGCGGTGGTGGCACCTGCCTTTAATCCCAGCAATCAGGAGGCTGAAGCAGGCAAATCTCTGAGTTCAAGGCCAGCCTGATCTACAGAGTGAGTTCCAAGACAGTCAGGGCTTTTTTTGAGAAGTTAGTCTAATCACTCCCACACTCTTGACTTCATTAGATTTCTATTACAGTGAAGAGACACCACGATCACGGCAACTATTATAAGGAAAACATTTAATTGAGGGCTTCACTTACACTTTCAGAGGTTCCGTTCATTATCATGATGGTGGGAAACATGGCAGGCAGACAAACACGGTGCTGGAGGAATACCTCAGAGGCAACAGGAAGTTGACTGACTCACTGGGCAGTATCCTAAGCATACAAACCTCAAAGCCTACCCACACAGTGGCACACTTCCTCCAACAAGGCCATGGCCACACCAATAAAGCCACACCTCCTAATAGTGCACCCCTGTGAGATTATGGAGGCCAATTACATTCAAACTATCACACTTGTCAAGGCTGCTCAGATGACGTGTTTTCTTGAGAGACTATAAAACCTCATATCGTCACTATACTTCAGTCATACTTGGCCCACCCCAGGCTTCTCCACCCATCACAACCCTATATAAGTCCCTGCCTGATACCATTAAATGAATTCCTGCTTTGACAGACAGTGGGTGTGCGTCTCCCCAGGGCCTGGGGGGAGAGCTGAGTTACGACACTCACCATCTGTCAGAGAGCCCCGCAGAACATAGATAAGTGTAATAATGTTTTAATATTAGTAATATAAGCATAGTAAATTTAGTAAAAAAAAAATGAGTGACCAAAAAAAATCAAGATCACGTTGTTATAGAGGAGAAGAGTCTCTGACAGTGATGTTACATGGGAGCTCTGGGTGACTATTAAAGTTCCCTTTCTGTACTCAGGTGCAGGTGAGAAGAAAACATACCTCACAACTCTTTAAGCTGCATAACTGTTGATACCACTATTCTGAGGTGCTGGAGTTAACCTCAGGGACTTGCATATGTAAAGCAATGAATCTTCCACTGAGCTACATCCCTAGCCCTGATTTACTGCACTTTCTATATTATGTCTTCAACTTTTAGAATCTACTAAGTTCATCTATTCAGTTCAGATTAATTTGCCTCTACATTAAAACAAACACACTAGCAATAGCTTGTTCACCATAAATCTGTTCCCCACGCTGTACACAAGGTGCTCATTGAGTACACAGTAGAGACTTCTAATGATGTTTGCTCAACAAATAAGTGTAAGATTTTTGATTCTATAAACAAAATGAACTACACTAATTGTAAACAATTTTCACATAATAATAAAAGGCTAAAATCTATACTTACATTTATTACTTAGTGCTTCTGTCCTACACGATACTTAAGTTGAATTTCTTTGAAATACTTCACAATTAAATTTTATTAAGTTAGATGTTCAACTAATTAAATGAAATCTCTTCCCCATTACCTAATTCCAAACAAGTAACTTCAAAATGCTCCATTCTGTGGTAAACTATTATAATTTTATTTTTAGCTGCTAGCATGTAGGCAAAGAAAAGTAAAGAAAAACAAAACTATGTGAATTTTAAAGATCCTTCTGCATGTATAATAAGGAATGGCTAGACTACATGCTGGCTCACTCACAAGCACAAAGCTTTCCTATAGAGGAGCTATCCGAAAGCCTCTCAGCAAATTTCTAATCTCGGGCCTTCATGTTAAACCTCACTGTAAACACATGTACATATAAAAGCATGTAAAAGAAAATCATGTAAATAATCTACAACTTGGGCACTGGAGACAGCTCAGGTGGTACAGTGTTACTGCGAGCATAAGGATCCAAGTGAGACCCCCCAGAATCCGTATGATTCTAGCCAGCTAGGCAAGTCCAGTTCAGTGAGAAGCTTTCTCAAAAGACAAAGAAGCTGGGCATGGTGGCTCACACCTTTAATCCCAGTACTCAGGAGGCAGAGGCGGATCTCTGTTTGAGGCCAGCCTGGTCTACACAGAGTGAGTGCCAGGACAACCAGGGCTACAAAGAGAAACCCGTCAAAAACAAACAAACGAGAGAGAGAGAGAGAGAGAGAGAGAGAGAGAGAGAGAGAG